TATTATTACTAGTTTTTTAAACAAATACGTTATCTCAATTCAGCCTAATAAAACCTTATTAACCATAAAACTTAAATTAATATTAATTAATTTTTTGTGTTGAAAATTTGCAACAGAAAGACCTTGATAATGTCACATATCTACACATATGAAATATTTCTTTTTTAAGTAAGGCATTACGTATTAGTTTGGTATAGTGCACAAGTTCAATGCAACTTTAATCAATCTTAACAAGTTTAATAAATCAGTAGAATGAATACCAGTTTATTCATTATTTTTTATATGTTTTTAACAACTGATAATTACCCCATTTATTTGGATCTACTTGACAATGTTTTACAGGGTGAATCTTAAACGAGATCTTAAATAAGTGCGGAAATCTATGTAAAATTATATGGAGAATGCCATCGCTGTTAATTTAAAAGCCAACTGGACGCCGATTTTTTTTTCGATCATACGGTAGTATATAAATTTTCTAACAAACTTTTTGTATGTCAGATACGTCAGAAAAAAATATATTTTTTTCTTAGGGTAATTTATTTTTGACGATATTCTATTAAACGGTTTTATTTAGCTCGACCCGTACGGTATTTATTTATTTGTTTGTTTATTTGGGTCAAAATTAGAAATTGAAATTTAAGTACCTTCCTGTTGTCAGATTGATCTGAAATTTGGTACACACCTTTAGTTCCGAAGACAATACAATATAGTAATATCAATAACATTGTAAATCTAAGATGGCCGCCGGTACAAAATGGCGGATTTCATATTTTTCCACAACCCCCTCAATATGGGCATCAAATGAAAGGGATACACTAGTAGAATACTGTGATTATGACAAAATTTAAAATCCAAGATGGACGTCGTTACAAAATGGCGTATTAGGTGAGGGCATGAGTAGTCGTGTCCAGAACAGTTGTGTCCAAGATTGTGTGACGTTAGAAGGACAGATAAAAAAAATAGGTGATGAATTTGTGAAAATGTTGCGGTCCAACATTGACGTTACAAAAGGATTGGTAAATGGTGCTATAGGCCACATTACAGAAATTGTTTGGCCTCAGTTCCGTCGAACCCAAATGTACGAAACAGATGTACCATCAGTTTGGATTGACTTTGGCAGAGACGGCATACACGTTATACCGAAAGCCATACAGTTTCCAGCAAAATTCAATTATGGTACGGCTGAAAGAAGGATGTTACCCTTAATTTTGTCATGGGCATCCACCGTCCATAAAATGCAGGGCAGCACAGTCGACCATGCAGTAGTGTATTTGGGCTCAAAATTGTTTGAGGAAGGGCAAGTATATGTGGCTCTAAGTCGAGTAAAGTCTCTGGAAGGGAGGGCTATGTATTGAGGAATTAGATTGTAATAAATTATCAGGTAAAAAACCATGTAATAATGATGCACTAAATGAATTAAATAGAATGAAGAATATTCGGTAGGCATTTCCGTTAAATACTAAAAACTAGAAAATAAAAAATGGGTAAAAAAACTTTTAAGTTAAACGGTTTTATCTTATGTGCACTGAAAACTAGAAAATAAAAAATGGGTAAAAAAACTTTTAAGTTAAACGGTTTTATCTTATGTGCACTGAAAACTAGAAAATAATAATAACAATTAGGTATTTTGAACTTCTAGTTCAGAAATAATTTAGTACTAGGCAGAATATAGCTTTTAGGCATATTAGACTAAAATAAAAACGTGGGGCCCATTAACTATTGCTGTAATACTTTCTTCTATACTAAGTGTGGATTGCATCGACTTACTATAATCGTAACTGGAGATTTTGACAATCAATAACCAGCCGTGGCGGCTTCACCAGCGAACGCCGAGCTCATGATCTACCAAAGTATAAAGATATGCTTTGCCATAGGTAGGATTTCAGAGGGGCCCCACGTTTTTATTTTAGTCTAATATGCCTAAAAGCTATTCTGCCTAGTACTAAAATATTTCTAAACTAGAAGTTCAAAATACCTAATTGTTATTATTATTTTCTAGTTTTCAGTGCACATAAGATAAAACCGTTTAATTTAAAAGTTTTTTTACCCATTTTTTATTACTGTAATTATTTTTACGTGTTCTAATTTAATTACTAAAATAATTCGTGATTTTTTATATATTCAATAACTTCTTTATTATTTTCTTTAAATTATATTTATTATTTATATCGATATTTTAGCAAAGAAACTGAAGATATTAAAATAAAATGTATAGTAAAATCGGATGTATGTAGGTAATAAAAATTCATTTAGTTTGCAGCTGTTTGTAGTTCATGTGCAAACATCCTATTAATTCAGTTCCTATCTGAAACGATTTATTGTTAAATTGGTGGTACTTAAGAGTACCACTACAAATTTTCTATTTATTTTGATAAATAAATACTGTGTACTATAACATTATTACAACGATTTGTCGTTCAATCTTTTGTATCTTGTCATGTGATTAAAGGACTGAAGGATTTGTATCCAAAAAGAAGACAATATAAAGGTTTCGCACCGTAGCAGTTTTACACTGTAAAAATTATTAAAATATGTAGTATAGTCTGTGAAACGAATAACTTTGAATTTGACAGTTCCCTCGGGCTTTTCTAGTGTTAATTTTATTAGGTTAGCAACTTGCAGCCATGCTGATGCAATGCCGTCTCTAATAGAACAGCCTCGGAGCGAGATTTATGACGTCACGCCAGTTAGATACTACGAATTAATTATGTTGTAGAATACATGGAAAACATAATTATTCCTCGTATATGTAATTTTTTTGGATTATATTCGACACTATTTTTTTCATATGACACAACACTGATGAAGGCTATAAACGTTAGCTATAACCTTTTTAAACCAAAAAAAAAATAATGAAAAACCAAATGAAAACTTAATCAGCGTTTTTCCCGAACCTAAATCCGAAGAAAATCAAAAATTTTAGAATAATTTTACTGACGCCTTTTTTTCTATGATATTGTATTATTTGCAAATATAATTTTTCGAACATTGATGCTTGCAAAATATACATATAAATTTTGTGAATGCAAATAATAATACATCCCTATTAGTATTGAATGTTTTTTTGTTGAATTAGATCGATTTTCAAACCCCATAATTTAAAATATATTTTACATTTTACCCATTATCTTATCTACCTATTCATTATTTGTATATTATAAAACATTTGATGCATTTGTATGGTTCATAGTTTATTTGCCAAAGTATTTATTAGTATAAATAGGTATATATATTGTATTTATTAACTGTATATTATGTATATTTCATGTAAACTATATCATTTTTAAAATACAAACCAAAAATACGAGGAAGAATTATGTTTTCCGTGTATTCTACAACATATTTATTAATCCGTGGTATCTAACTAGCGTGACGTCATAAATCTCGCTCCGAGGCTGTTCTATTAGAGACAGCATTCATCTGATATTTAGAAATTTCAAACGCTGATGACATTTTACTTTTGTCAATTATGACATTTTGCGTTGATTTTTGCAAGAAGAGGAAGAACTGTCACCTGTTTTATTATTTTCCTTTTCTATTTCACGAAAGTAAAAAGAGTTAACTATCTGATTCGTACAGGCACTCATTTTAAACAATATTAGTAACTTTTTGGATAGAGGGCTTTTATATTTGCCATGTTGGTAAAAAATAACGGTCAAAATTCAAAGTTATTCATTTTATAGACTATAGGAGTATTTATTGTTTTTTTCCATGGCAACTGTTAAAATTGCCTTATATCTATCAAAAATAGTAGATAAAATAGTACTTTAACCGCAATGGTAGATTAAATGATACTTTAACACCGAGGATAGGTTAAAAACTTTATTTCTTCTCGCACGTTTTTTAATTGCTTCCATTTTTGAACATTTTTGTATTCCTTTTTATAAGTTATTCGGGATTGAAATGGAAGTAGTTTGGATATGGCGTTTGTTGCCTCAGCCTGAATGTCTGTTGGTAATTTACTTATTTCGTTTTGAGCCATTTCTGACTCCAATTCAATCAGCAATCGACACGAAAGAGAATTAAAAAATACTGACTCAAAACTGAAAACTAAAGAGACAGCTTTATTTATTTGTCAAATTATATAGAAACCAACGCCAATCCAGCACAATATTTTTTCTACTCGTAATAAATTCCTTGAAATAATAATTTCTGAATATTTTTTAAAAAGTAACTGGCTATGGAAAAAAAAATATTGTTTTATACACGACGATAAAATTGCATTATCGTCTCCCGAAATCTCAGAAGGTCCAGAAGCTCTAACTTAGTCTTCCGAATTTTATTCAAAATTAATATTTTTTTTATTGGAAAGTTAGTTTTTTAACGGTTTTAACTTTAAATCTTTATTTTATACTACCAATTAGGGTTCAGACCTTTTTTTGCCATCACCAGAACCGGGCCTCGTTAATATTAATTAAAAAATTATTTTTTTGTTACGTGAGAAAGTCTTTTGATACATTCTAGCGATCGAAATCAAACTCTTCCAATTAAGTAATGATGCTATTTCTTATTGTTCTTGTTTCTTTTTCGTTTTGAGGTTCCTATAATATTTATTATGTTATGTTTTAATAGATATTTGCATTTTTAATTCAATATTTTAGGGCTTTTGTCTGAAATTCAGTTAAGTTGGTTTACGTTGTTTGTTTGATGTGAAATTTAAGTTACCTATACTTTTTTCTTTACTTGTGTTCGTGTTAATTTTTTCATGACTGATTACTTAGTAATTTGACATTATTTTCATTAAAAATCTCAGTTTTTTATCCATTTTACTTTGAAAACCCATCCCTTGCTTTCTAATTGATGAACTGCAACCACCACTGAACAAAAATTAGTCAGTACCGAAAGTACCGAAAAAAAGGAAAATCTCGGTTCCTAAGAAAACCCCACACACGGTACGTTTTATCTGTAGCAAGTCGTACGATAAGTCGTTCCGTCTGGACCGCGCTTAACGTTGAGATTAAACCAAGCGTCGTGGTACTCTTAAGCCCAGTACTTTATAAATAATTTAGTCAATGAGAGCCGGTGATTCAGTCGTACGAAAATAGCGTAAACCCAAGCAAGCACACAAACTTTCCCTGCCCTATACGCCGCGATATAATATATATACGCCAAATCATCTCAACGAGTGAAATATGTATTAAAAACACTTAAAAAAACATTTAAAAACATAAACAAGACTTTTTTCATCTAAAAATGTCGGAATTCAAGCCAAAACCACTAAATTCGTCTTTGAAGTGTTGTAAAAGTAACGATTCTTTGGTATCAGTGTCTTCAAATCATGATAAATTAGTTTGCGACACGAAAAACGATTATGTGGTAGTGCCTTCTAAGGACCCTGATGAAGCCCTTAATAACAACGTTTCGATCACTGGAAAGACGATGAATTTTCAGTATTCGGTACCGAAAAGGATATCTGTGGATTTGGAGTTCAAGAACGTGAAGTACCAGACCAAGGTTTGGTCAATGAAGAAGTATAAATTTGGTAAGTTTAATTTTTTTTTTTTGAAAAATTTAGGTAAATTGTGATATAAGAGTTATTATACTGGAATCCTCATCCAATGGAATACTTAAATTAATAGAAAATTTAGAATAATAATAGTATATTGTTTTATTATGATTAAAAGTGGTACTATTTGTGACGCGGTTGTATGTTTGACAAGAGAGGCAAAAAAAGTACTTTTTTTTCAAACGTTACAAACTATTAATTTTTGCGACGTGATTGACAATATAAAAAAGTCATTTCAACGCCTATAAGCATAAAAGTAAAGCACTTTTACGCCTAAGCACAAAAGTACTAAAATATATTATCAAACTGTCATAAAGTGTCAAATTCAACGAGCGTAACTCTCGATATAAGGGTTGTTCACCACATACGACACGGAATATTGTAGCTAAACGATGAGATTTTTACAAATTGTAAGTTTGGGGTTCGTTGAAGGACTATTAGAGCTACAATTTAAAAATATTTCTACAAGATACAGAGTGTCCCAAATAAATAAAAAATATCAAAGTTGTATTTTTTTAAATGGAACACCCTGTATATTATTACATTTTTAGTTTCTACGATTAAAATAAAGGTAAATTTGATTAAGGTTTATTATACTTAAACCTCACCGTTTTTGAAATATTTTCAATTTTGTGAAATTGCAGTAAAAATTTTAAAGCTTCATTTCTCCAAGGGTATCAATGTTTTTAGTACTAAATATTTAATGAAGTTTATTTATTGATCAGTTATTGTGTTGCAATAATAAAAATAATACTATCTTATACAGAGTGTCTAAAAAATTATTTTAAATAATTATTAGCTTAAACGGCAATAACTTCTTTAATTTAAATGGAATGCCCTGTATATTTTAGGAGAATCAGATGCACAATTAAATTGTCTATCAAATTGTATTATACCATTTTTTACCTATCCCTTCAAGTTTTCGTATAAAATGCATTTTCTTATAATTTAGACCTCATTTATCAATATATCAATGGAATATTGACATTTTAGATTGTTTTTAAAGCAACAAATGTACAAAATGTACAGACTAGTAATATTATCGTTTTTAGCAAAACGATAATATTACTAGCCCATTTGTATGCAAAAAGAAAACTATTTAAATCTTTATAAAAGAGTATACCATTAATTAAATATAACACCATTATTTGCGCCCATATACTAATTAATTACATACTTAATTGTGTTCGTTATTAAATTATTATAAATAAATGTGGATTTGAGTCAGAAATCAATATAATAATAAGTTATCAAATTAAAGTCTCTGTAGTTATAAATAAGCATTTATTAAAAAATGAAATATCATTTTTAAGGTGTTACTTTTTATCACACTGTCTAATGCCCATACAAAATTCAGTTTTTTAGTATTTGGAGCAATTATTATTAATCAAAGCAAACAGTCAGTTAATGTTGTTTGAATACTGGAATCATATTAACTGATCCTCTTTAACAAATATTTAAACAGTTTTTTTTTATTTTTTAATGAAATAAACGAATTATATCGACAATATTAGTATCTGTACTCTTTAAAAATTTGGGACATCTTTAAAAATAATCTAAAATGTCAATAGTCCATGGGTATATTGATAAATAAGTTCTAAATTACAAGAAAATGCATTTTCTACGGAAACTTAAAGAGATAGGTAAAAAATGGTATAATATAATTTGATAGACAATTAAATTGTGCATCTGATTCTCGTAAAATATACAGGGTGTTCCATTTAAATTAAAGAAGTTATTGCCGTTTGAAGCTAATAATTATTTAAAATAAATTTTTAGACACTCTGTATAAGGTAGTATTATTTTTATTATTGCAACACAATAACTGATCAGTAAATAAACTTCAGTAAATATATAGTATTAAAAACTTTGATACCCTTGGAGAAATGAAGCCTTAAAATTTTTACTGCAATTTCACAAAATTGAAAATATTTCAGAAACGGTAAGGTTTAAGTATAATAAATCTTAATCAAATTTACCTTTATTTTAATCGTAGAAACTAAAAATGTAATAATATACAGGGTGTTCCATTTAAAAAATACAACTTTGATATTTTTTACTTATTTGGGACACTCTGTATCTTGTAAAATTATTTTTAAATTGTACCTCTAATAGTCCTTCATCGAACCCAAAACTTACAATTTGTAAAAATCTCATCGTTTAGCTACAATACTCCGTGTCGTATGTGGTGAACAACCCTGTATAATTACTTACAAGGTATTACTTTTAGATCTTTTTATACAGGCTGGCGCACCTCATTCATCTCGAAAGATGTATTTATTTTCAAATATACAGGGTATGTCAGAACTAAGATCCATACCAAAGTTATTTTTTTTCTTATGGACCACCCGGTATTTTATTTCATTTTTGGATTCTTGGACATAAAATAAGGCATTTATTATAACGGTTTAATATGTTTAAAAGCTTTGGTTTTTCAGTTATTTAGAGATATTTAAATATACATGCCATAATAAAAAGTCTGTCAACGCCCTGTACATTACTTTTCAGAATTAATTCTTGTGCTGACTATTAAGCCAGAGAAATAAACTTTATTAAAAAAAAAATTATCAAAAATTGCTGGTCTATTTTAAATATTTATTTTACATAAAAACTTTGTTATTTCAAATGCAAAACTATGTATATTTTAAAATAAGTCGAAGCAGATTTAAATGCTCTTTCAAACTATATTAGGGTTTCCTATACCAATCTGGCTCAGATTTTGAATAAAAAGCGATTTTTCAATAAAATAGCAATCAAGATGGCATTTTTTTTCGTGAAACATCCATATCTTTTTCAAGAAATTTCATACCAAGTGATTGCCAATAAAAAATATAGATGAACTAATTTAAATTTAATTTAAATCACATTTTTTTTCTGTTAATCTACATTTTTGGCATAATATAAGCTTATATTGCAACAAAATTTATGAATAAATAAATAAAATTAAAATTAATTACTAATCCGTATGAACAGTTAATAAATTTGTTCGACTCAAAACAAAACTAAGGCTAAAGGTTTAATGGAATTTAACAAAGAATAAAAAGGAGATTAACATTATTATTTAGAAATGTCAATAATATTTACATGCGATTGCGATATGTGATCTTTCTGCATAAGCGTGAGACGATAAAAGTGTTCGTTCTTCCTTGAATTTTATCAAAATACAGGGCCAGTCTTAAATAAGTGCAAAAATTTTTATTGGCGGTATACAGGGTGTCCCAGGCTGATCGTGCATTGGAAGAGTTATTTTTAGACAAGTACAAGATCTAGATCGGAGATTTTTTGCACATCACTGTTTCAGAATGAAATCTACGAGGCATGTTTTTTAAGTAAGTACCGTTTTGGAATTAAAAAAAACGTGCAAAGATATCGCAATAATTTTATTTTTACATGAAAGCCTGTACCTTAATCTACTTTTCTACATAATTTCCGTGAATATTGAGGCACTTGTCATAACGTGGCACCAGTTTTTCAATACCCTCCTCATAAAATTCTGCCGCCTGGCTGGTTAACCACTGTATCACAACTGTTTTGACTTCGTTATCGTCTTGAAGACGCTAACCGTCCAGGTGTTTCTTCAAGTGCAAGAATAAATGGTAGTCACTGGGCGCCAGATCAGGGCTGTATGGAGGATGATCTAGAGTTTCCCATTTAAAAGATTTGATGATCTTTGGTCCGATTAGCCACATGTGGACGGGCATTGTCATGCAGCAAAACAATACCCTTACTCAACCTGCCACGTCTTTTGTTTTGGATTGCACGGCGCAGATTGTTCAATGTCTCACAATAAGATGCTGCATTGATTGTCTCATTACGAGGCAGAAACTCCACTAGCAATACTCCTTTTCTGTCCCAAAAAACATGGTTTTGCGGGCAGAAATTGTTTGCTTAAACTTCACTGTTTTGGGTGATGATGAATGTCGCCATTCCATGGACTGTTGTTTCGATTCTGGTGTGACGTAGGCCACCCATGTTTCGTCACCAGTAACAATTTTGCCTAAAAAATCTTCACCTTCATTGTGGTACTGCTCAAGGAAAGTCAATGCACTGCCTAAACGTTGGGTTTTGTGCAAATCCGTCAACATTTTCGGAACCCAACGTGAACACAATTTCCGGTAATTCAAGTTCTCGGTCACAATGCGATACAAAACACTACGAGAACATTGAGGAAAGTAGTCGCACAATGATGAAATTGTGAAGCGTTTGTTTTCTTTCACCTTTTCGTCCACTTTCTGCACCATATCTTCATTAACGACCGAAGGACGCCCACTCCGTTCTTCATCATGCACATTTGTGCGGCCATCTTTAAATGCTCTCACCCATTTCCTTACCATTCCATCACTCATAATGTTTTGTCCGTAAACTTCACAGATCTCACGATGAATATCGATCGGTTTTACGCCTTTAGCACTAAGAAATCGTATGACAGCCCGTACTTCACAATCGGCGGGGCTCACGATTGTCGGAGCCATCTTAAACACTCAATAAACAACGTATACAATGAAGAATCAGACTGTACTGGCGTCTGTGCATAGACAAGAGATGTAGGTAACCAGCGCGCATGCGCGGAACGCCGACCGTAGCGCTGCGGCGGCGGAATCGCAAAACAGTACTTACTTAAAAAACATGCCTCGTATCATTATTTTAAATGGGTTCCCAAATTTTTTATTACATACTTAAATTCTCTGTAAAATTTTATGAATTTTGATATCAGACACTCTATACCTAACATTAACCGTTTTTGAAAAAAAAAATATTTAAAATTTTTGGAGGAAAAAACTCCCTGTCAAAAAAATGTACCAACTCAACCTAAACGTCAAATTTAGTGATTAAAACAGCCACTGTAACATAAAAAGAAGGACATGTGGCTATCTATTTGAAATATTAAATTGTTGAATGTCATGGTACAAAGAAAACAAGGTATGATCGATAGCTGCTCCAATTTCGTTAAGTTTGCGCATACCACCTGTGACGTC